AAGGACACTGCATTTTTGCCTCCACAATGATCATTCTGCATGTTTCATCAACAGCAGGCCACGGGAAGAAACCTTTCTAATGGCCATATTAAAAAAATTTTTTTTTGAGACATGCTCTCACCATGTAATTCAGGCTGGCCTTGAACTCACTCTACAGCCTAAGCTGGCTTCAAACTGACAATCCCCCTGACTCAGTATCACAAGCGATGAGATTACAGGCATGCCTCATCATGCTTGTTCAGTGAATTCAAATCCAGTTCTATTTGGTGGTTGAGGTGGCGCCCTGTGGTTTTAGCAGCCTAGATGCTGAAGCGGGAGGATGCCAACCCTGGACACCTCTTGCCACATGAGCTGCCTTGCTCCAGCCTGAGTCTAGCAAGTCACCAGGGTCCTGCACCAGGGACCCAGACAAGCCTGGGCTACACAGCGAGCTCAGCACCAGCCTCGACTACTCTGCCCTAACTGTCTCAAAAAACCCAAGATAAATACATGAATGTTAGCTTGCTATTGTGCAGGTATTTTTCGAATACCAACGGCGTTAAGGACAGTAGTCCAGTCAATACAGTGAGATGCAAAGTAAAGTCCAAATCATAAATTCACATCAAAGTATTCCTGTCCCCAGGAAATGTATCAGTACATGGACAGCCACAGAATAAATCACGGTTGCTGTGTATGGTGGCACATCCCTGTAATGCAAGCACAGGGGAGGCTGAGGCAGGAGGATCATTTTGAGTTCAAGACCAGCCAAGGCTACAAAGAAAACTCAGGGCGAGCCTGAACTGCATAGTCAGACACTGTCTCGGAAAGACAAAATAATAATAAAGCACAGTTGATCTGTACTAATAGCCATAAAATTTATTTTATGCAATAATTTTATACCAATATCACATGTATTTCCACAGAAAAACATTTTATTTTCAAAACAATACTTTCTATATAATTTGCTCAAAATGCTTTTCTTTCTTAGAACATAGTTGTAGGTAATATTTATACTCTTGGAATAAATCAGGCAAAGACTAATTTTTTTAAAGACACAAAATGGAAAATCCTCATGGTCAGACAAGAATGTCCATCATTGATCTGCAGGGAAGTGAATACTGAATCGATGGGAAGATCTCGAGCCTTCAAGCGTGTTTGCCAGGCTTCCCGGCACCCAGTGTGGACAGAACTCTGCCAGAGAGGTACAGGGCACCTGGCCTCATGCACGGGCAGATGTCATGTGGCTCCAGAGTTTGGCTCTGAAACCAGGTCCTCAGCTCTTGCCTAGGGGTGCTACACCATTAGGGCACCAGACACTCAGCCATCCTGCTGCAGGCTCAGGAGTGCTCTGGGCTTCATTCACTCAGATGCATCTAGCTCCTCATCGGCAAGGTCTGGACATAGTCTACGAGTTCTTGGAAGTCCTCCTCGGGGAAGTCTGAGCTCTGGAGATACTGGAGAGTGTCAGGTGACAACATTAGTTCTGACAAGAGCTCGGAGACTGTAGGGTCTTGCAGCTCGTCTGGGTCTTGGGGCTTGGCTGGGGCTGGGGCTGGGGTGGCAGCATCCTGGGTCCCCTGCTGGCTGTGGCACCTGGGCTGTCCCAAGGCCTGGTCGTGGTCACAGAAGGTGGAGAAGGTGGGCTCCTCTGCTGGGAAAGCACTGGAAGGGCCGGGTGCAGGGACCTGGAAAGCTTCAGATACCGGGAGCATGGGGGTCGCATCTGTAGGGGCCTGCACTGGAGCAGGATACTGGCCTGGGCCAGAGCTGGAGCTGGGGCCAGAGCCGGAGGCCTGCCCAGAAGCAGGTTGCTCCTGGGGGCCTCGGGCCCCAGGCTGTTGCTGTCTTCCACGCTGTTTCCGCCGGGACTTGGCCCTCCGGTTCTTAAACCACACCTGTAGAAACATGGAGCAGGAAGGAGTTGTCAAAGGGAGGCACCTGGGAGAAGGCCAAAGTCCTTCGCGCTAGCCTTGCATGCACCCAGGGCTCTTGGGTAGACCCAAATCCAGCCCCAAGACCCTGGCCAGCCCCAAGTCCTTGTGCAGCTCAGGCCACCAATGCGGTTGGGGTCCTTGTGTAGGGGCCACAGACCTTGACCTTCTCCTTGGACACCTTCAGGTTTTTAGCCAGCTCCCTCCTCTGGTTCAAGGACGGGTACATCTCCTTGGCGAACATGTCCTCCAGCTGGCGCTTCTGCTCTGGGGTGTACGCTGTGCGCTGCTGCCGCAATTTTTGGGGCTCTGGGGGGCCTCGGGAGGCCGGGGGCTCTGGAGGGCTTGGGATGCCTGAAGGCCTTGGGGGATTTGTGAAGGGTGGGGTGACTGGGAATCCTGGGGCAGAGAAAGGGGACGGAGGAAAGACGGGCCTTTGGAGACCTAAGGGGTATGAGAAGGCTGGGGGTGCTGGGGGAACTAGGGGACATGGAGGGATAAGGGGGACGCCAGGGAATGAGTAATTACAGGAACCTGGGTTACTTGGGGGAACTGAGTAAGCCTGGGGAAATTGGAGGCACGATGGCATTGGAGGAACTGGAAGATTCCGGCCTGCTGGGGTTTTTGTGAATCCTGAGAGAGGGAGAGGAACAAGAGAATCAGGTAACTGTCCACACACTGTCCCCACGGTCTTCAGGCTCCGTTCCTGTCCAGGCTCCAGGGAGACTTAGGTAGCCCAGGCCTGCAGGAGACAGCCCAGGGCAGAGGACTGAGGGTGAGCCCGACCCGCCCAGCCCAATCGCACGTCTCCACCTCCCACCCACACCCTGCACCCACGGGTATCCATGGCCACATCTTGGCAGTGGGGTTGAACCCCGTTCCCACACAGCTGCCGAACTTTCAGCCCAGAGTGGCCTAAGGGTTTCTGTCTCCCCCAACTTAGCCCTCAGCAGCCTGCTCAGCCCAGGGACTCCTGCAAGGACTGTACGGAAACCCTGACGCTGCAGGAGCCACCGTGGGATCTGGGGCTTTCTTCAAATGCTGTGCAGCTTGGCATCCTAGGGTCACAAACCCAGGGCAATCTTCAGCCCTAGCTCGGGGATGTCACCTCTGCACTAGGCCTGGAGCCTGGGCATGGGGCCCCAGCCCTTACTCACTCTGAAAGTCATTCGGCTGTTGCATCCTGGCCTCTTCCTTGCTCCTCTAACTGGGATCCTTTGCAGGACCTGAGTTTAAATCCCCAATCCTGCTCTGCCCACACCACCCGACCCTCCCTCTATACCCACCCTGCCCCACCTTCTCCGCCTAGATGCTCTGCCCCCCTTTGTGAGCAGCTACTGAGGCCCAGGTGTGAGCTTGGGGCAGGATGCAGCCTTGGTCCCTCTCAGAGGTGCAGTCCAAAAAGATGTCACCAGGGGTCCTCTTGTGAGTACAAGAAATGCACCCCACACCCATGGGGCCTCACCAGCTTACCAAAGAACGGTACCCATATTCTCCATTGCTGGGGTCTGCTGCTGTCCCCAGGGAAGGCTCTGAACTGGCTTTAGCTTTCAACACAGAGCCTGAGTGTCCCTCTCCTAAGTCTGGCTGCATCTGAAAGCCAAACTGAACTCATTCTCACATGGTCCTTGGCAGGCCTCTGAGGTAAGGGAGCCATCAAGCCTACTCTCTCAGTTACAGGAAACTTTTTATAATCACTTTTATTACAATAAAAGATGAAAGTTAAATAGAAAATGAAATAAGCTGGGCATGGTGTTCCACACCTATAATCCCAACACTCGAGAGGCTGAGGCAGGAGGTTTGCTGTGAGTTGTAGGCCAGCCTGGGCTACATAGCCAGTTCATGACCACCTGTACTACATACGTACTCAGACCCTGCTTCAAGAAGAAAAAAGAAATAGTAACAAAAGGCAACTTAACCATTCCCTAAATCTCTCCACACATGCCTGAATTTTATGCAAGGTCCTTTCAAAATCCCTCTTGTGAACATGGGGTTAAGACCCAAGACAGTAAACTCAGCTCTGCTGAGAACTGCTGTGCCCATCGTGAGTTTTGGCTGAGGTCAGGACAGGGGCATCTCCAAGTCAACACCAAACATCGGCCTAACCTCAAAGATCCTTCCCAGGAAAAGACCTCAAATCCTCCTCCTTCTCCTCCACCTTCCCTAGGCATGCAGCTTCACCATCCCAATAGGCAGAAAATCTCTCTCTCTCTCTCTCTCTCTCTCTCTCTCTCTCTCTCTCTCTCTCTCTCTCTCAAGTGGTGTAACCCAGGCCTGGAACTCTCAGCCTGCCTCCTGCATCAGACTACTACATACTGGGCTACAAGTGGGTACCACCAGGCCTGCTAAAATCTTTCAATTTACACAGAAGAAGAGCACTGTTGTCGTCATATAGACAGTGAATTGGCAGGGCAAGGGCCCTCAGCCTCCCATGGACGCAGTGCAGTGTGACTCTGAGCATATTCAGGAAGGTCCTGAGAAAATTCCCTTCTCTGGCACACTGCTACTGAGACACAAAGCAGCGACTGCACTCCTCCGAGTGAACTCATAATCAAGAGCTGTACTTGCTTTGTTTCATTTTTTTTTATTTTGTTTTGTGTGTTTGCTTATTTTTTTGAGACAGGAGTTGCAAATCCAGGCTGGTCTCAAGCTCATTGTCCTCCTCCTGCCTCAGCCTCCAGAGTGCTTCACCACACCCATGAACCACCACAGCTGGCACTAGCCTGAGTATTCTGTTTCAAAATTGTTAAAATCCCTGGGCATGGTGGGATGTGCCTATAATCCCAGCACTCTGGAGACTGGGGCAAGAGTGTTGCCAAGAGTTCTGGGTAGATAATGAGACCCTGACTAAAAAAAAAAAAAAATCCAAAACACCAAAAGAATTGAAAATCAAAGACAGGAAATCAGGGAATAAAACTGAAAAAGAAAAAAAGTGAGTAATAGCATTTCCAAATGAAATGAAGTCAGGCATGTTGAACCATGCTTGTAATACCAGCACTACACAGGCTGATGCAGGCAGATTACCATGAGTTTGTTGCCTGCTTGAGGTACAAAGTGAGCTGAAGGGCATCCAGAACTGTATATGGGGATACTATCATGAAAAGAAAAAAAAAAAAAAAAATCAAGTGGGACCTCCTTTCTAAAAAACTTTTGCACATCAAAAGATTTCACCAATAAAGTGAAAAGACATCACACACAGCGGGAAAGGGCTTTAGCCAATTGTTGCTCAGACAAAGAACTCCTATGCAGAACATATAAAGACTTGAGAAATTGAGGCGTGCCAAATTCAAAAACAGAATGCAAAATGGGCATCTGGGATGAATATACACTTTTCAGATGAAGAAATGCAAATGGCAAATAAATATATGAAAAAATATTCAACATTGTGCCGGGGAGATGGCTCAGTGGAATAAGCGCTTCCCTGGCAAGCACAAGGGTTTAAATCCAATCCAAAGTTCCACAAAAAAAAAAAAAAAATTCAGCATCATTGGTCATTCAACAGATGAAAATTATTCTTTTTTTCCCCCCCTGTATTTTAGGGACGGGTCTACAGGGTGTTCAGGGGTTCACTACTAGATCAGACTCATAGCGATTCTCCTGTTTACAGCCTCCCAAGTGCTGGGATTACAGGTGTGTGCCACCATGCCCAGTCTCAATTGCTGTCCCAGCATGCCCCGGGGGTGGGGCCAGCATTAAGGCCCAGGGATTGAACTCCCACTCCTTGCGCCTGCTTGCAGGTGCTTTAATCCACTGAGCTATTTGGCCAGCCCTAGAGATGAAAATTAAAACAATGGTGAAATACGTCTTATGCCAGAAAGAATGGCTATCATCAAGAAGTCAACCAAGAACAAATGCTGGAGGGGCTGTGGGCGAAAAGGAACCCTTCTCCACTGTTGCTGAGCGAGCAGACCAGTACAACCATTACAGAAGTCAATATGCAGATTCCTCCAAAACCTAGAATTGGAGGTCCCATTCAAGCCAGCTCTTCACCTACAAGGCATTTTTCCAAAAGAACCGAAATCATCCTACCACACAGATACATGTGCCCCCATGTTTACAGCAGTGCAGTTTGTCACAGCTAAGTTTGGAAACAAATCAAATGCCCATCAACTGTGGAGTAGATAAAAAAGATATGGTATTTTCACACAATGGAGTATTGTTCAGCTATGAAAAAAATCTCAGGCTTTTGTAGAAATGTGGAAGTTAGAGATTGTTGCTAAGTGAAATAAATCAGATGCACATATGCAAACATCATAGTGTCATGCTAGTGTGAGAACTTGAGTGAGAAAATAAAATCTGAACTGTACAATAGATACTGTGAAAGTAAAAGTATCTTTCAATGGGAAGGAGAAACTGGGATGAGGAAAGCAATACAAGAAAAAAGGGAAAAATATCTATTTATGTATATATATGCAGGATAATTTGGATAATTGTACAGCTGATTTCTCTTGGTATCTTGGAAGGATCCATACATACTGAAAATATTTTTTCTTTTTATTGTTATTTTTTTCTTTTTAATTTCTTATACCTTCATTGTTTGTTTTTTGTTTTGTTTTAACTAAGTTTACACATTTATATCTTGTAACTTAAACAACTAATTGGAAGATAACATCATGCGATACAAAAACCACTGTTAAATTCTTATTATTTTGTTTAGTGAAATTTTGTATCATTTCTAATTCTTTTTTTTTTTTACTATTGTATATTCCTTAAAAAATGAAAAGAAAAGAAAAAAAATTAAGGAAACACTTGAGAGTCCATCTCACTTCAGAAAGAATGCCCATCATCAAGAAATCAACAAGTAACAAATGCTGAGAGGCCGGAGAGTTAGGTCAGTGGACTCAGTGCCTGCCTAGGCAAGTGCAGGGACTGGCGGGCTGCAGCCCCACACTCTGCAAGGGCCCCGCCCGTGGACCCACTGAGCCTGCCACCCAGACTGGGCATGGTGGTGCACATTTGTAATCCCAGCACTGGTGAGTCTGAAAGCAGTAGGATCGCTATGAGTCTGATCTGTGTAGTTTGACCTGTACCAAATATATTAAAAAAAATGCTGAAGAGGCTGTGGAGCGAATGAAACCATTCTCCACTGTTGGTAGGAAGGAGTACAGACCAGTACAACGGTTGCAGGAAACATCCAGGACTAAAAGGAAGACTTCATATGGAGGAGTTTTGGAAGGAGGCTGTCTCAGTTACTTTTCATGCATTGATGGAATAAAAAAACTGACACCCCAAATTAAGGAAGGAGAGGTTTATTTAGCTCACAGTTTATGGGGGCTTCAGTCCGTACTCTGCTGGCTACAAGGCAGAGAAGCAAATGGCAGAAGGCAGCATATCATCATGTTGGAAACCAGCAAGAGCAAAAAGGGAAGTGTAGAGGCTGTGGCACCAGAGGCAGGGACAGAGCAGAGAGCATTCCCTTCCTTACATTGCACTAAGGCTATCTGTTCCAGGGTGGGTGTGGCACTCACATCCCTAATCCCAGCATTGGGTCACGAATCATCATGAACTCTAGAAGCCCACCCCAAGGACTGCATGAGGCTTTTGGGGGGACAACTAGACACAAACCATAACAGTGACTTTAATAAAACCCTAGCAAGCTGATAGGCATGAGATCCAATGCATCAGCATAGAGT